GAGGAAATCAACAACCAATCACAGCAGACTTTGTGTGGGCGGATACGATTCACAGATATATCATCGGACTGACTGTCTAAGAAACAGCAACAAAGGGATGACAGAATAGCCTTCAGCAGGAAAACAACCAATCAGAAGACGTCGTTGCTTCTCTGTTAACAATATCTTTGATAATAATGTACATAAAAATTTATAAATATCTGTTGATTTTCTCAATAGACGATCTGTTACTTGGCCTTTGTCTTCTACCGTTACACTTTAACTTCACCCTAAATCTAATCTAAAGTGAAATGATTATCGATTAGCTATTGTTGAATTCACATTGAGAATGCTCCCTTTGTCTATTTCAATATACAAAACCTGATATAGGTATGTGTATAATTACAAGGCAATACCGATAATACACTATAGATAAATCATAGTTTATTTTTACATAAAATCGGATTATGTCAAGACGAATGAATGTATGAGTGAATTTCTGCATCGAAGAATTATGACAATGAAATCAGATCATTTTTAAGTGAATATAATTCACTTATGCATAAGCAAGATGATAGTTATTGTATCTATCATATATAGGTAAAAAGTGAACGAGATCATGACTAGCGTTCATGCAAGCCTACATACATACACACTAGGCACACACACACTTAAATGAACATAGAAGTTAAATTGTTTCTAGAAATTAAGTCAACTGATTTTATTTAGTCAGTAATAGAAAATGAAGAGAAATACTATTGAAATCAACAAAATGTTTAGATTAGATACTATGAAATGAGAAAAAGACAAGTCAGTAGTTTACAAACAAACCGAATAGCTATGGATTCACCATTAGGCCCAATATTAGCTGACTTTTTTCTCGCAAAACTTGAAAACGGGAAATTGAAGGATACCATCAAGGAGTTTGATATGTATTACCGATATATGTCGATGATACATTTATCTTAGCTGATGAGAATGTTAAAATAGACGAATTTTTGCTGAAATTCAACAACATCCACCCTTCGCTTACCTTTACTTGTGAAGAGGAGCAGGAGAATAAACTACATTTCCTGGATGTCTTGCTAAGTAGGAGAGAAGATGGGTCACTTGGGAGAAGCGTGTACAGAAAAAGCACATTCACAAGGCAATACACACACTTCTTTAGTTACGTGCCCATTAAATATAAAAGGAATCTTGTAAAATGTCTCGCGAGCAGAGCAAGAAAGATATGTACGGATGATCTCTTACAAAAGGAATTTGAATATATTCACGATTCCTTGACGGAGATGGGCCGGCTATCCGAGTAGTAGTTTCATAAAGAAACATATGAAACCATCAGAGAGAAAACCTGAGACTCTGACTGCACATAAGAAACCTCTATTTATTAAGTTACAATTTAATGGGGACTTATCTAGTGAGATTCTATTCCAAAGACTTTCAAGGAGTATACGTAGAAGATTTTACGCAGCATACAGATGTTTGTCATTCTCTAGCCGACGAATGATTGGGACGCAAACGAAGGATAAGCTTGATAGTTTTGCCACATATATGGGCATTTATCAATTCAACTGCACCTGCGGTGACAGTTATGTTGGGCGTACTACTAGACAGCTTAGCCAACGTGTTAGTGAACATATATATATATATATATATATATATATATATACGAGTTGATCACGGATCGATATCAATTAGAGAACCATTGAAAACCAGGGAGTACTGGACAGCTGTTGTTTCATCCTAGTTTGGAAATCATCGTCAGTACTCACCCACTGGGATTCGAATCCAGGACCTTCCGGTTACAAGGCAAGCTAGCTCGTATACCATTTAGCCATTGGGACCCGATTCAATGGTCAACCCATGAATCCCAACTTCTACCAATTCGTGATTTAGCGCAACCCCAACCATTGTCGTTGGCGGGACATCCATCCACACACGTGACATCAAACTAATCTGATGCTCGCTAGTGACTTACTACAGGTTGGAGTTTCCTGAGTTCTAGTGAGAAGTCGTGACCAGTGAGGTCCAATTAGAATTCACGTGTGTGGATGGATGTCCCGCCAACGACAATGGTTGGGGTCGCGCTAAATCACGAATTGGTAGAAGTTGGGATTCATGGGTTGGCCAATGAATCGGGTCCCAGTGACTAAATGGTATACAAGCTAGCTTGCCGCCTTGTAACCGGAAGGTCCTGGATTCGAATCCCAGTGGGTGAGTTCTGACGATGATTCCCAAACTAGGATGAAACAACAGCTGTCCAGTACTCCCTGGTTTTCAATGGTTCTCTAATTGATATCAATCCGTGATCAACTCGTAAAAAACATAACCAACCCTTACAAACCAAACTATAGAAAAAAATATATATATTCCCATTTGTAATTGTATATTTCGGATTCAAGATAAAAATGGAAACACGTAATTCCATACATTTATCCTCTCTTGATGATTTTGAATGAAGCATCCGGATAGAGTCAGCTTTACCAGCATCAAGGAAGATCAATCCATTGTACTTCTGGTGGCCACAATTAAACAGATAGCATATCTGTTTTCCGTATCTTCGAATAAAGCAAGAACAACAGGTGGTGGTTTGTGCTGAATAATATGCCACCATCATTGTTTATTTCGTTGGCTTCTCATCAGCTGTCTGCATACAGTCGAAATAAATTATTATTTAGTTCATGTACAGAAAAGTTTTAACATACTGGTAAATTTTATATGGCGTCATTTGACAAGAAGTTTCGAACTTAGTGAACAGTGCTCAGAGAATTACGTTTGTATAGTTTTTATTACACAGGCGGTTCAAGTTTAAACAAATTAAGTGTATGCATACAGTGGTAAAAGAGTTATGCAATAAAGACGGGAGATGCGTAAGATGATGAGTAACTAATTAATTGGGTAACAATGTACTACTGAGTTCAACTCAAATCGTAGAAACAAAATACAAGCAAAATTACACTACATCAAAGAGGGATGAGGTTAAAGACTAAGATTACGTAATCAAATGAAAGAGAGATTTAAGATATGCAGTTATCAGGGCAAGGTAAGACTGATAACCGCTTCTTTCTGAATACAGATATCGGGTTTCAGGTGTTTGATAAAGTTTCCTCCGGCCAATATTCAGGAGAATTGAACCTTGTTGTTCACTGATTATTTTAAAAGATTTTACGATTTCCATCTCATGACCCGTATCAAGGAAATGATTGGTACTGGCACTATTGTAAGTATTTGTTCCCTTGAGATGTAGGCTTTTCGGTATATGTTCTGCAAATCGGGGGTGTGTTCTTCTTTTTGTTCTCCTGATGTAACTTTCCCCGCAGATACACATCGTCTTTGTTACATAACTCCTTTACCACTGTATGCATACATTTACTTTGTTAAAACTTGAACCGCCTGTGTAATAAAAACTATACAAGCGTAATTCTCTGAGCACTGTTCACTAAGTTCGGAACTTCCTGTCAACTGACATCATATAAAATTTACCAGTATGTTAAAACTTTTCTGTACATGAACTAAATAATAATTTATTTCGACTGTATGCAGACAGCTGATGAGAAGCCAACGAAATAAACAATGATGGTGGCATATTATTCAGCACAAACCACCACCTGTTGTTCTTGCTTTATTCGAAAATACGGAAAACAGATATGCTATCTGTTTAATTGTGGCCACCAGAAGTACAATGGATTGATCTTCCTTGATGCTGGTAAGGCTGACTCTATCCAGATGCAACTGTAATAACAATCAGTAATGTTCTTCCAAGGACTTGATTCCTTGAGGTCACACATACCAGACCTACATACTGAGTGACTATTCCATCAAGCATAAATAATATCAAAACGAAACAGTCCAGTGAAATGAACAAAAAGAAGTAAAAAGTATCAAAGAAACCGTACGATAACCGGAGTGTAAATAAGAACCTGATTGGCTACAGGGCCGCAGATATATATATATATATACATATATATAAATCAGCGGCTCACTTAAAACCTGAACTATCGAAAACCCTTTCATCAATATGTATCGCAGATAATTTCTTTTATTAAGTTTGTTTAAATCTAGTAAGATATGACCTCTAATATTACTGTTCACCTTGGAGATCATTCGAAACAACGTACGAATTCACAAGTTTCTATTAAACATGAGGTAAGAAAGCATTATCTCCATTATAGATAAGATTTTATTTTGATAAACTGTCACACAGTGTAGTGTTATCCAGTAATATTAACTGATGACCACACGTTTCGAGCACAATTTATTACTGCTTATAATCATACCAAGTCACTCACTCACATAACTTTTTTTCCTTCATTTATACACATGAGTGGAATTGATGATTAGACATTTGAATAAAATCAGTAATATAAGATAAAGTACATTCGGAAATAATAATATTAGTGTTATCATTCAAGATATTATTACCACCAGTCACACTTGATATGATTATGAGGGGCAATAATTTGTGCTTGAACTGTGGTCATCAGTTAATATAACTGTATAACAAACACTGGGTGACAGTTTATCAAAATAAAATCTTATCTATAATAGAGTTATACTCTACGAGCACAGTGTCCAAGTTTTATACTTATACCAATAAAAAAGCACAATCCCAGATGGCAGCTTATCCCAATACATAAAATAACCTATTCCTAAATGTACTCCTGAACTTTTCACAACTGATATTCAACAAAATGTCGTCGTGTATTTCTCGAGAGAGATAAAGAAGAATCTGATGATAATCGATCGGTTCTCACTTCAGGTTAGATAGAACTGTGTCACACGATCTACTGTCAATGAGTGTTATACTTGAAGATCCTGGACGAAGAGAAAATATCGCTGATAATTCTATGCAATATATAAACACTGTTCCGAATAAATCTGTTGTTGTTAATACTATTAAAATTATCATTACTATTAACGGTGTATATAATAAAAGGAAATGATAACATAAAATAAGTGTGCGGGGTGGGGGTGCACACAATGCACACACACACACACACAATATATGGATCAAAACTTACTTCCTCTTTTAACAGATTACTTAGATCGACACGATAACGATCCAATGCTTCTCGCATAGCACGATATTTAGCCTCATGTACACTGGACATCATATTGTAATAATATGTCAGGAGTATTAAACACGTTGATAAGAAGTCGCTACAAGTACACAAAAGAAGAAATAAAAGAGAATAAATGGTAATGCTGATTAAAACTTTGATTAAAATTCATTTTTTAAAGCAATTAAATCAAAGGACACAGTTTATTAAAGTTTCTTAACTGAAGACAGTTTCAGCTTAAATATGCAATTGTACGAAATATTCCTATATTGAATCATAAGAGAAAGATGTAAAGAAGTGACGAAAATTCTCCCTTTTTGGATGATTCATAATCACAAATGCTGCTGCACAACCTCAGTAGGTCGGGTGTGAGGACAGATACTAACCGAAGACACTGGCTAACGATCGCGCTATATCGTAAATTGGCATAAGTTAGATTTTTTTATGGGTTGGCCGTTGGATCGGGTCCCAATGGCTGTTGAATGGTCTACGAGCTCGCCTTATAACTCGAAAGTTCTGGATGGATGCGTACTCATGAAAAGTCTCTAACTAGATGGACAAAACAGCTGTCCAGTACTCCGGTGCTGGTTTTCCAATGATTCTCTTACCAACGTCAGCTCATAGTGAAATTTTGTAACCAACCAATCAAATCCCTAAAAATCAATACTTGGATAATGAATTGTGTTCAACAAATTTGTCCTCGAAAAAAGTATTACGTAATGTTAGGTGTAATCTAGAAGAGGTGACTAATTGGAAATTAGAAAAAAAGCGGCAGAAGTTGCGATGACATATTAATTGCGAAAAAAATGACTAACCAATAAGATTTTGTAGAATGGACAGGGACTAGTGGAAAGACGATCAAGTGTTTTTATATAAAATCTGTATGAAAATGCAATGTTATTGATAAACAGTAATAGAGTGATAATAAAATATGGGTGATGAGAATAACAGTGCCAATAAAATTATAATAATAAACCTACATAATAAAGTGAAGTAAAATTATAGTAAGAACGTTACTCTGACCACGGTATGGCGAATGAATGTATGTAATGCTTTTAAATACAAAGGTTCAGTCTCAGATCCCGAATAGCCAACGATTCAGCTATGTACAGATGGCGTATACAAAGTTCCTTTGTACAATACTGAGGGACTCTGTGTAGTACTGTAAAGCATTTTAAAATCGGACCTCTGTATATTCAAAAGCACCACATACATTCACTCGCCATACCGTGGTCAAAGTAAGATAAGATAAGACAAGATAAGCTTTATTCCAAATCAGTGCTTGTGATACAGAATGGAATTCTCAGCATTTTACTACAATATTGCATCCAGTTAGTACGTTAACAATAAATATAGTTCTACATAGATTAAAGTTATCTCAGTCAGTTTTGACAACAACATATATTAGCATGTCGGTAGCAAAGCCAAAATTTAAACAGAGTGTTTGAAGGTGTTAGAAAAGTTGATACTACTAGTATATTTACTGGCGTAAGCGATAGGAAAATGGTCGAGATATACAGAGTGTGAAAGAACGAACAAGAATGTTTTAAGTAGAGTTTGCAAGGAAGAGAGAAACAAAACAGCACATAACAAAATAAATACAGAATGAAGAGAGAGAAAACGTTGTACCTATAAATGATGTGAGTTGGAAAGACGAGATCCATTGGTTCTACTGACTATTTAATAAGTTAAAGGTTTCATGCCTAATGCTTTCTTTATCGCACAGAACACGAGCTAGGTAGGGTATGGATGAGTTTTTGTACTTACTAGTGCGGGCATATAGTTTCCTATATAGGCTTCTTACTATAATTTTACTTCACTTAATTATGTAGGTTTATTATTATTATTATTATTTTATTGGCACTTTAATTCTCATCATGCTTATTTTATAATCACTCTATTACTGTTTATTAAGAACATTGCGTTTTCAAACAGATTTTATATAATAACACTTAATCGTCTTTCCACTAGTTCTTGTTCACCCGACACAATTATTTTCAAGAGTTGATTTGTAAGCATTTGATTTGTTTATCGAATTTGAACACGGATTGATATCAATTAGAGAACCATTGGAAAGTCAGGAGGGAGTACTGGACAGCGAGATAGCCGCCGTTTCGTCACAGTGCTTGGGACTCTTCCACAGAGGTACGCACCTATTAATTCAGGTTCAAACCGAGGACTTTCCCACTAGAGCATTGGCCTGGCGTGCGATGTCATTCAGCGGCCTTCTCGATGCATGCCCGATTCATCTCCACTTTCTCTTACATAGTTGTAAAATGATCAGCTCTTGGTCGGTTTGTTTCCATAGTTTCTTGTTGTTTATTGTTTTTGGCCGGCCCTTTGATCTTCAGTATGGAGTCATCGAAGGCAGCGGTTGATGACAGTCTGCAACAAGCTGTTGGAAGTCTTTTTTCGTGAAGTGCATGCCAAGTTTAAGATCCGTATAGAAGAACCCACTCCACATTGGCGTTGAAAATGTGAATCTTGTTCCTCCTGCTGAGGTGGAGAAGATCTCTAAACTGGTTTCAGGTTGATAAAGGCGTATCTTGCCTTTCCGATTCTGACTGACTTTGACATCTTCATCCGTTCCGTGTACCTGTAGTGGAAACGATGCTTCCCAGATAAGTGAAGGAAGCTGTTGATTGGCTATTTTCATCACCCCTTTCTTCTCTGCGTTCACTTACAGTCCTGTTTTCGCTGCCTCTTCAGCCAGTTTGTTGGTTCTCGCCTGCCTTCAAGTCCTCCAGTTTGTGTGACATTAGACATATATCATAAAATCCAGATCTTCTAGAGCCGTCTTATCGGTCGTCTAGCGTATTCTTGTCTTGTCACCCCCCCCACCACCACAGTCTTACGCATAATCCAGTCTACCACAATAAAGAATATCATCGTAGGTGATAACAGACGGTCTTAGCTTACTCCTGTATTCACTTCGAAAGGCTAGCTGAGTCTTCCGTTAACGTATCAGATCACCTGGCACGTGCCATTGTTATACAACTGTTGAATGAGGTTGACAAAAACTTGAGGTACGCCATAGTGTTGAAGTAGTTTCTTAATTACTTCTATGTCAACACTGTCTATCGAAGGCGATGAAGTTGAGATAGAGGTTCGACTGCCATTTAACCACATTATTCCCTTTGATTCCGACTGGAACATAAGGCTTCACTTTGTTCTACTTGGTGTTGTCCCCTTCATCTGGGTCCACAATTGCTCACAATCTCTCAATCTCCTCCATGCCATCCTTGCACTGACGACTCCTAGTCGTCGTTTCGTATTGGCTATCAGTACAACTTGCCAATCAGCTTGGTTTGAGTCTATTCCAATCGCATCAATCAAATAACTAGTGTCAATTTTATCACAGAAGCATATTATCTTTAAGTTTAAAGTAATTTCACATTGTTATTAATAATATACTTTGAGTATGGCTCATCATTTTACTGAGAACATCAAAGGTATCAATCAATTCATTCATCTTTTGACAAATAGTTTTCATAATAGTGACACACACACACAGTTATGTATATTTATCATGTCATAATATTAAATAGGTATGAAGAAAAACAAACACCTGTACAGTGTTGTGTTATGTACTCGTCGCCAAATTATTGTTATGGACTGGTCGAAAATTTAATAGTCCTGACGCAAGAAAGACGGAAATCAGAAGACCACTAGGTTTGCGATGATACTTCTATTTTCCAAAACACCAGGAGAATCAATATGTCCCACAAGAGTGTGCGAGCAAAATATATATTAATGTCCGAACAAGTGTGTGAACAAATCAACAGGCAGTCTTAACATGATTGGCTAATTATAATGAATATCGATCCATATATACATAGCAAAATATATCAGACTTGTCAACAAACACACATATTATATATAATATAAGGGGAATATCATTGTTAAAGGAGACAGGTTCATCAAAGTCAAATGGTCACAGACTAAGAGAGCAACAGAAAGAGAGACCACCATATATATATATATATATATATATATATATATATATATATATATGGATACATATCGTGTTGTACATAGATTTTAGACTAGGCATAATTTAAAATTACAATTTTGTCCACAAGATTTCTAGATTTTATTATCTTATATGAAGCATGATAATAATAATCTATTCAGCAGATAACTACCTTTAATAATTGGGAGAAAAATACAAACTAACAATCATCACATCTACTATACCACATATGATAGAGAAGATTTCTAGCTCAGGTGGATGATTTTGATGTGGTTGTGTTCTATGAACTAGCTGGATAGTTGATTTGTGAAGCTTTCATCACCCTACTAAGTGACATCTTCAGCGAATACTTCGATTTCCTGAAGTGAACTTTTAGATTTCTGCACGAGTTTATTAATCATCTCCCCTGTTGGGTGACAATGGACGTGATTGGTTGTTTTTGTGTGTTTTCACACCTTCTAGGTTACTTGTATTCGAACTGATTGTTTCTTTGACTTGAACTTTGTCCCTTTGTGTATGTGAGGTTTCTTTCTTTTCGGTTGATAAATTTTGTCTATCTCGTCTATCTCTTAGTTCGAATGCAAGCAACCTAGAAGGTGTGAAAACACACAAAAACAACCAATCATGTCCAAGGTCACCCAACAGGAGAGATGATTAATAAACTCGTGGAGAAATCTAAAAGTTCACTTCAGGAAATCGAAGTATTCGCTGAAGATGTCGCCTAGTAGGGTGATGAAAGCTTCACAAATCAACTATCCAGCTAGTTCAGAGAACACAACCACATAAAAACTATACCACATGGCCCACAATACAACGTTGATGATTCAGGGCTAGAATACCTCCCAGCAGCCGCGCACGTGCACCGGAGTTCAACTCTTGACCCACGCACTCCTAAACCCCTCGCCTAGTTTACCAGTTGATAACAACTCCAGCAAAAAAACAATCCCATAGATACTGAAACTCTACGTCCCACTCGGAAAGCAAAGAAATAAAAGAAATTTAATGTAATTTACACCCTTATCATTTTCAGAAATGAGACTGCATATACAAGTAAACAGACGATAGAGTGACACTGAAAATAGTGAACGCTATACAGGAACACATACAAGAGACATAAAACATATATT